GGGCTGGCTGGCATGTGGTGCTGGGGGATTGAACCGTGGTCCCTAGGCTTTGCTAAGCTTGTTCTAAGTAGGTGCTTTAGACCACTGAGCCATCTCACCAGCCCCAGGGATGGTCCTTCTAAACCTCCTTCAGGTTTGGTTTGGTTTTGCTCATGAGGGGGTGTTGGATTTTGTCAAAAGCTTTCCCCATCTCTTGCTGTGACCACGCGGGTTCTGTCAGTCCCTCTACATGATGTGCTGCATCCACCCACCTGGGTGGTATGTTGAGCCCCCTTGCAGCACTGGCATGGCCTGGCTGTGCAACCCTCGGACGCTTTGCGGCATTCTGTTGCTAACATCATGTTGTGGACTTTTGCATCGAAGTTCATTAAGGAGAATGACCTGTTCGGTAATTTCCTTTTTCAGTTGGATCCTAGGTTTGGGGAACAGAAATGAATTTTGAAAGATTTAACACCAGACACATAATTTATGGGATTACTTTATAATATTCACCCAAAGCAACAAATGCAGAGGAGTTCGAGAGATCTGTCCATGCAATAGAGACCCGAAGAATCCAGCTGCGGGCCTGGGTCACGCAGCAATGCCCTGCCTGAGCCCAGCTGGAGGCCTACAGCCCACCCACAACAATGCCTCATGCAGGCCTGGTTCAAGGATCTGCCCCGGGAAGGACAAAGGTCAATGGAGGAAACTAGCAAGCCTGCGCCAGCGGGATGAGGGACCAGGGCCAGCTGGCTGAGGGATGCGCCCTGGAGCCAGGAAGCGACGCTCCGAGTAAGGAGCAGAGTTCCAACAAAGCGAATTGAGGCCATCCTCAGTGACAGCGAGAACTCAAGGTCCTCGGACAGTTCAGGACAACCAGTGAACTCAGTTCAGGAAAACCAGCACAACAAACCTCTCCAGGAGACCCGAAGGCACACCAGTCCCCTGGATGCTGTTGAGGGTGCTCTCTGGTGGGCCCTCCCATGCTGACTCGGTGTAGCCAGGCGTTCCAAATGACCTTTCGCTAACCCACCACACCATATAACATCCACAGTGGTTTTGTAGAATTCAGCAGTAAACCCTTCAGCTCCAGGGCTTTTTGTGGTTAGTAGAGCTTTCTCATTGCTTCCTCAACTGCATCGTTTGTTATAGGATATGCAACAACTTTATGATTTAGTTTTGGTAATTAATATGAGCCTAGAGGGGCTGGTGAGATGGCTCAGTGGTCTAAAGCACCTACTTAGAACAAGCTTAGCAAAGCACAGGGACCGCGGTTCAATCCCCCAGCACCACAAGCCAGCCAGCCCCGCCCCCTGGTGGGCTGAGCTGGCCACACACACACACACACACACAAATAAATAAAATTTTTTAAAAAAGCCTAGGAATCTATTTCTTTTTTTTTAATTTCATTTTATTTTATTTTGAAGAATAAAAACAACAAAAATCAAATAGAAAAAATGACAGAAACAGTATAATGCACGATACATATATTGCAGATTTTCAAAACAGGTTGTTATAGTATCTATCTTTTTCTTTTTTTCCATAATTTTATTGAAAAACAAATAGCAATAAGACAGTTTCAAACCAAATCGGTAGGACAGTTTCAATCATTCACACATTGCATACATTCTTACTAGTGGTTAATTGCTGTACAAGATGTGGAGTTGAGATCCTATTTACAAACACCATTAGAAGAAATCATTCTATTCATTAAAAGAATGTAACTATATATCTATCCTAACCATTTTGAATACACAGATACAAAATGGACATTCATCTGTATCCCCTTTTTTGTTAAGTTCTGTCATTTGAATACTATAGGTATGTAAACTCAGCAAAATATTCTAAAAGAGTCCAGTAACCCATAATAGTACTGGGTCTTCTGCTTGACTGGCAATGTCAGTGTCTATTTCTTCAAAATTTGCTAATTTCGTGTCAACCCAGCACTCAGGAGGCTGAGGCAGGAGGATTCTTCTCAGTTCAAGACCAGCCTGGGCTACAAAGTGAGCTGAAGGCCAGCCTGAGCTGCACAGTGAGACCTTGTCTCAAAAAAAAAAAAAATGCTAATTTGTTGGAATATAATTTTTCAAAATAGGGCCAGGGATGTACCTCAGCGGCACAGTGCCTGCCTGGCAAGCGCAAGGTCCTGAGTTTAATTCACATCACTAAAAAAAAAAAAAAAAAAAAAGCAGAAAGTTTTTTCACAGTAGTTACCCATTTTCTTCTGGATGTTGACATTCCTGTTGATACAGATATTCTTCGTTGCTAACTGCGTTGGTGTGAGTCTAAGTTTGCGTGAGTTTGTCTAAGGATTTATCTACTTCATTTAGTCTTTCAAAGAGCCCGCTGTTGGCCTCACTGGTGCCTTGTGCTGTTATTTCAGTCTCCCTTCCGTCAATCTCTGCCAGATCTTTACGCTTCCTCTCCTTAATTTCAATTTAGGTGTGGACAGCTGTTGTTTCTCATCTATCCTAAAGTTCCTCATTAGGCTACTTATTGAAACTTGCTCTGTTTTTCTATATTTTTTCAGCTTTTCTAACATAAGCACTTCTCTGAGCTTCCCTCTTCAGACTTTCACTGTGCCCCATGGATTCTGGGTATCTTTCGCTTCTAGAAATCCTTTCATCTCTTCCTTGATTTCTTCTGTGAGTCCTTGTGTGTTGAGGACTGTGATGCGAAGCCTTTGTGTGTTTCTACATTTTCTGTGGTTTCTTCTGTGGTTGATTTCAAGTTTCGCCACACAATGGTCCAATCGACAACATGTGGTGTGCCGCTCTTTTTTTTTTTTTCTTTTTTTTTTTTTTTTTTTTTTTTTTTTTTTTTGAGATGGGGTCTCGCTGTGCAGCTCAGGCTGGCCTTGAGCTCACTTTGTAGCCCAGGCTGGCCTTGAACTCGCAACGATCCTCCTGCCTCAGCCTCCCGAGGAGTGCCGGGATGGCAAGCATGTGCCACCGTGCCTGGCTCCTTCTGCCATTCCTCTGTTGATCTTTGGCCTAGCTGATCTGCCTCTTGGCAACAGGGAGCGAGATGATCTTTGTCACTGTTCTTGTTGCTGGGACGAAGTACCCAGCACCCAATGGGAAGGGAAGAAAGGC